CCCCCCCCCCCGAGGGGGCTCCAAGTGGCCGCTGTCAGCACCTTGCCCTCAAAAGGGCAATCGAGCGCTGGGCATAAAGCCAGGAAGAAGCGGCACTTGGCAACGTAAGCTGGGATGCTGTTGATAGCACTGGCCTGCTGGCTTCCATCCGTCTCTGCGCCGAAAGACTTCCGTTCCTCCAGCTGTGGGCATGAGAAATAGTCGTACCAAAGGAACAAGGCCCGCACCTGAAATTCTTGCAAGGGAATCGGCTTCGCAGTACGCACGAAGCTTTCAGTAATTTGGTCCAGTGAGACAGAGCCACGGCCACTCAGGAGCCGCTTCACTGCATCCTGCAGATTGCGCATCTGCTTGAAGTCGGGATCCGGGTGGTCAGCGGCAACCCACTGATGCGAAACGAAGGCTGCTCTGCCCAGGTTGTCGCTGAAGACGACGAGCTCGCCCCGCGCCTCCAAGGCCCAGTCCCTTACCAAACCTCCCCGTTGACTAATGGAGCCCCTGCTTCATTTGGGTTGACCTGGTGGCCACTTAAAACCAGCATGCTCTTTCAGAAATCGGGGTGCTCCTTTGCTCACCTTTCTCGCACGCAGTCATCTCAGTTCTGCCTGTGCCTCTGCTTCTGTGACTACTTTGGGCTTCCGCATGAAGCTTGATCTCGGAATATGACTAGCAGTCGTATATACACTTCTCGCCCACTAGAAGATGCCGCCAAAAACACATCGTCACAGCATCACATGTAAGCATCTGGCGGCTAGCCCGACAGTTACTACAAAGACTCCCAAGCACGATCGAATCCTTCGGCATGTGTGCACGGTTCCGCATAAGGCACATCGCATGTCAGAGTTCCTGCCTTCAACTCCTCGTGTGGCTCGACCTTTGTCATTTTGAATAGCATGTCTGCGGCGACAGTGTACATGGGGAAGAGCATCGGGGCTGCCTGAGCCCATTGTTCACGCACGGAAGTCTTCAGACCCCCTGCGAGAATGAGGAACTTTCCAAAACGGGAGTTGGGAGAATCATCGGGTGATGCCAAGCGGCGTCCGCGTCACTGGGCAGTGCTCTGGCATAGGTCTCCAGTGGTGTCGCTGATTTTCCGCAAACACAGCACGTCATGGGTTGAAACCTAAAAAGTTCCGCATTCAAAAGAGAGCTCCTACTGCGTCCCGAGCCACGAAGACTGCTGCAGATGCTACAATATGCTTGTCGTGACCCTGATCTCGCCGCGACCAAAGTTGTCATCCAGGAAAGAGTTTGGGGACTGTTCTACACCAGCAATACCCTTGCGGCTATTAGCCACCGAGGAGCCGGAACAACCTGTCGGTAGGGTGAAGCTTCTCTTGGGGTCAGAGCATGCAAGGGGCGCAGGCTCTTGGGGTTTGTCGTGTCTCGGCTTGTCTATGGTAGAGGTCAACGGCTTTGGGTTGAGCCCAGGACCTTTATGACCTTGTCCTGGACTTCGTGGTTAGCGTTGACAAAACATGTGAAGTATGCCAACGGGCCAGCGAGCAGTTTTGCTTCGTTTCGTTGCGTTGTGGTGTCATAAATACTGACCTTCTCTGAATCCTGAAAGGGTCCAACTGAGATTCGGAACCCTTCGCCCAGAAGTGTGGGCCTCATGGGGTGGCTACTGTGAATCCAAGCCCTAGACTCTAAACACTTCCCTTATAATCGAGACCCTGTCAGACTTCCAGACAGACTTATACATGCCCAGTTCCAGCTTTTCTGAATCTTTCCAAGATTACAACGCCATGGGTCCTCGCGCATGCCGTCCACCAAGTTCTCGGGGACCTCATGCCAATATGTCTCTTCGGGGGCTGAAAGGCCATGGGGTGTTGGATTCAGGGCTCTACTTCTCCACTGCACTCCGGGATCCCGACGTACCTTTGGGCCGCTTTGGGAGTTTCAGAACATGAAGGGACTCTTGCAGGCGTTGCTGCGTTCGTGTTTTTGTTGGGGGCTCAGAGCGTCAGGAGTTTCGGACCCCAGCCAGGAACTCTGCGCTGCCTTGCGGTCACTCCGAGAGCTCAGTTCCTGACGTCGTTGCCGAAGCCGGCGTAGCCTCTCTTCTCAGGCTGCTTCGCTTAGAAAGCGGGACTGTATTTATACTGCAATATGGGGGCTACAGTAAACGTTTCTTCTTTTTGCTCCGGCTTCCAGGTGATAGACGTTGAAGTGATGCTGACCCCGACATAACCTGCCTCTGCACGCGAAGGAACGCTGAGACTCTTCAATGTGGCGGCTCAGGCAAATGCTGCCAAGAAGCCCAAGATCATGATGGGCAGGAACATCGCCAAAGCCTCATGCCCAGAACTGCTCTATGATATCCTAGTAGGTGGAAGTCAAACCACACTTTGGAAGCATGCCGCATTCGCTCGGTGTGATGCCCGTTGAACCTGCGATGACTTCAAGCCTTCTCTCGCGAAAGCTATTCAAGTGCCAGCGACACACAAAACCCTGGGCTCCAACATCCCACAAAGAACGGGATCCTTCAGAAAAGCAGTCACCAGAAGCAGTGGCTCCTGGATTCCGGGGCGGGGGGGGGGGGGGGGGGGGCTGGCTGCTGCCACGGAGCAACGAAGTATGCCTGGTGGCTTAGTTTCTGAGACGACGGTTGTTCGGTGTGGGTCAGAGGCTGTGGGGCAGCAGTTTGCAAGTCCTTCCGTTCTCAGTTTCTCGCAGTAAACATCGTCTTGTCCCGAACCGCACAATCCATACTTCTTGGAGAGGGCCCATAAACTAGCAGCCAAAATCCATCAGTTGACCGATTCAGTGACCTTGGCCGGCGACATCATCGGCCCAAAAATCGAATCATGCAAATCATGCTCACACACAACCACCTACCTTGGCCATGCAGCCATAACTTTGTTCTGACAAGGCCGACTCGCAATTATAGAAGGTTGAAGTGTGGGAAGTCGACAACTTGCTGGGACTCACTCGTCAGGGTCACCCTTACTAGCTTCGCTACACCCCGAACCACGGCAGTCAATGCCTCTGTTGATCAAGTCTATCACCCCCCGACAAATTTCTTCTCCGAGGTGCAAGAATGGCTGCTGGAGCTGTCCTTGGGGCGTCGTTGCCATGTGGGTAGTTCTCTAACTTAAGGGTCCCTTGTTGGGTCCCCAAAAA